CTCCTCGGAAGGAAGATGCGGCAATCTACTTCCGTAGTGATACTGCCTCGGAAACCCAAGGAGGGATCGCTATGAGTCGGGGCCAACTCGACGGCAAATAACAACAACAACAAACTATCTGTTTCAAGTTTAAAGTACACACCTGTTGCTGCTATTTCAAATTGATGAATAAAGTTCACTTTCTGTTGGCTTTCTATTTGGCTTGAGTCTATTATTTAAAACAAAAAACCTGTCTCCTAGAAACCCCTTCATCGTCTAAAACAGTTTGTCTCCGTTATTGTTCTTCCTTCATACACAGAACCTGGAATTGATTGCATTTATTTAGTGTTATTATTCTCTACATATATGAGGCAGTTTCAGTTTTGCTTTCAATATCGTCTGCCATTTCCCATCATAATACCCTGCTTGCCAATGTCTCCCGGGGAAAGGTTTAAGGGTATAATGGTTCCTAACTGCGAATAAACCTTGATTTAACTTAATATGTCCTCTTCCTAGGCCCCATGAGAGGTCCCACAGAATTTCCAGAGCTGCTTCCCTGCAGGTCACTCATAAACCTTCAGCTTTCCCTGCACGCCTCCTTCTCCACTTCAGACAGTTAAACGTGACCGGTCTCAGCACCAGTCTCTTAGAATCATTAACTTCTTAACACTGGTCCTCCCCTCTGAAATGGTCCAAGGCATTAACGAGAAAAACAAAGAGGTGTCTGCGGCCCAGCGGGCGAATACCTGGCGCAGCCGCGCCCCTGCCTCGGTCCACCGCGCGCGCAGGGCCCGCTCCCGGAACTCGCGCAGACTCTCGCAGTCGGCAGCACCGCCCTCCGCCGGGAAGAGTGCATCGCGCACCGCGGCGCCGCCGCAGCCATCGGCTGCTTCGCTCAGGTAATGCTCCAGCTGCCGGCAGAGGTCCTGCAGCGCCGCCTCGCCTGGGCCCGCGCGCACCGGCCACACCAATGCCCACAGCCCCAGGCCCCAGGCCCAGCCGCCGCCCGCGTCCAGCTCCGGCGGCAGCTGAGGAAAGCAGTGCTCCAGCGGCGGCCACAACGCAGCTAGCTGCCGGTGCGCGCCGCGGAGTCCGGCCACCGATAGCAGGCCGGCCCAGCTGGGTAGGGGCGCGGCGGCCTCGCGCTCAAGCCCTGGCTCGGTGCCCGGCCGGCTCCCCTCGCGTCGCCGCTGCCGCTGCGCTGTCCGATCGTGACAAGTCACAGCGAATTTGCCCTCCGCGTCGTTCCAGGCCACGAGGAAGCGCAGCTGGTGCCGCTCGAGTTCGGCAAAGAGGTCCTCTCGGACTGGCACCCAGCCCTCCAGGCTGTCGGGCTGCTCGTCCTCCATGGCTGCCAGCGGTCAGCGGCCAGTGGGCTCGTTTCACCCCGGCCGGATCCCTTCACAACCCCCGCCACTGGGTAGTCTGAGTCGCGACATTTTTCGCTGGGCGATAACCCGCGTCAGCGTCCCGACACCCCCTCCTCTGGCGCTTTTGATTGGCTGTCTGCGGACCACGAGGCTTCCAGCAGGCGTCGCACATTGGTTGGGTTATAGGAGGGAGGGTCTGCGACATCCAATGAAAAGGTCAAAAGGTGCCTTAGCCACTGCCCCCTTGAATTAATCAATCCCACAATTTTGGAGCTGGGGAATTACCACTCTTGCCTCATCTTTTCCACATTTGTGCATACTGACTTTGGAAAAATATTTGTTAAGTGGACAAGTTATTGTCTTATCCTTCACTAAACTGTTCAGTCCTTGAGAGCAGGATTCCAGCTGATTCCGCGTTCCATAATCGGGGCCTTAATGAATACACGGTTCCTGTCCTCAAGGACATAACCAACTTGCTGGAGAGAGCAAACATTAAATAATTATTTACTGAGGGACTTTAAATTCCGGGCACTGATAAGAAACCACAAAATTACTATTAGAAATTCCACAAGCTTTAATTGAGTGTCTGCAGTGTGCCAGTTTGGGGAATGGGAGGTGGTGGTGGGAGGGAGATACAAAAAAGTTATCCCTGCCTTCAAAGTATCATGGACCCCAAACAACCTGTTTAAATACAGTCTATGTTCAGACTCCTCCTAGATAAACAAACGCATGGTGAGTCCATGTGTGTCAGAGTAGAACTGTGCTTCATAGGTTTTCAGTGGCAGATCTTTCAAAAGTACATCTCCAGGCCGTTCTGAGGTGCCCCTGGGTGGACCCAAACTTCCGACTAACTTGTTGGTTAGCAACAAAACATGTTCATTAACCATTTGCACCACCCAAGAACTCTAATTGAGGAACAAATTGAAGAAATTTTGAAGGTTTTGACCTGGAAAGGCCTAGAATTACATTGAAAAAAAAGAAAAGAAAGACAAAAGTTTTAAAAATGAATAAACAAAAACCAAAACCAGAGTCAAGCTAAAGTTATGGTTAAGGTCTATCTCTTCCTAAAAATGACCTCAAGACTCTGAAGATGACCTCATGATGAACCTCTGTGTAGCTTAATGGTCTTGTCTAAAGCTGCCTCTTCTGAAAGTCTCTCCCCTTTAATCCTGTGTGGGGCTGTGAAGGTCTCTGATTGGCACAAGCAGTTCACAATCAGCTGCTAACTTAAAGGTTAGCAGTTCAAACATACCAGTGACACTACAGAAGCAGGCCTGGCAATCTGTTTCCATGAGGATCACAGCCAAGAAAACCTAGGGAGCTCAGTTCTACTGTGTAACACATGAGGTCGACTCGAGACATTGTTGACTCCATGGCAACAGTTTCATTTTGATTTTTGTGGAGCTGTGAGCTGTGGAGTTCAGAACTACTGTTCTCGTTGTCATGCTCTCCTCTTGAAGAGACACCCTTTTAGCTGAAGTGATTTATTTTCCCAAGAACCGTTTTTTAATATATTCTTTTAACTAATAAGATTTATATATAATTATTTAATATTCTATAATATTTTTATTCACAGATGTCTTTTAACGGTATTTGTTTTACACTATTTTATCTTTCTAGTCAAACAAACTCACTGCCATCAAGTTGATTCCTACTCTTGGTGACCCCCATTGGGTTTCCAAGGCTGAAAATCTTTATGGAAGCAGATTGCCTCATCTTTCTCCTGCAGAGCAGCTGGTGGCTTAACAGCCAAATGCCTTACCTGCTAGCCACCAGAACACTTTTATCTTTCTAGTAGTTTTTCTAATTTTTTTTTTTTTTCAAAATGAAACCAGCAGGCTTTTCTAATTTATTTTTTATAATTATTTATACTTACTACTAACTACATAGAAAGTAATCTGTTTTGTGAGTATAAGAGGGGAATAAGTTTGTATGTTCTTAGGGAAAAAAAAATCTGGAAAAAATATACACCAAGCCTAATAGTGGTTGTCACCAGGATTTATGACTGATTTGTATTTTATGGTTTATGTCCTTTTGTAGCATTTGCTCTTTCTTTAAAGCTAAATAGTATATATTGGTTTTGCAATAAAAATTAATGATTTTTTAAAATAAGTAAGTTATATATGACCAGTGTAAAAAAATAGATACTATCAAAAGTATAAAAGGAGAAAGTAAAATAACTCAAAAGAGATAAACTCTTCTCATTTTATATGTTCTTATATATGTATATGTCTACATATATACTGTATTATACCCTATGATTATACTGTTGTTGTTGTTATGTGCCTTCGAGTCGGACCCAACTCATAGAGACCCCTCCTTGGGTTTCCGAGGCAGTATCACTACGGAAATAGATTGCCCCATCTTCCTTCCGAGGAGTGGCTGGTGGGTTTGAACCACCAGCCTTCTGGTTAGCAGTCAAGTGCCTTAGGCACTATGCTACCAAAGCTCCCATGATTATACTGTAATGATATTTATATACTCTTTTCCACATTAAAAATATACTGTAGGCATTTTCCACATTAAAAAGTAAGTATCTACGTTATTCCTTTTAGTAGTCTGCCAATATTAGGCTGTATGGTGTATCATGATTTATTTAACTAATTCCCTATTGATCGATATAGGTTGATTACAGTTTTCTGCCAGTATAAACAATGCTATAGTGAACATTCTTATACATATATCTTTGCATAACTCTCTTAATTTTTGTTTTTATTTTGATATTTTATCTTTTTCATATTTTCTATGTTAAGAATACTCTAGAGTAATGACATTTAAAAAATTGTGACCAAGGCCCTAAGAAGCAATAGATACAAAATTCCAAGATAGAATCACCATGTGTGGACTTTCAATGAAAATGGTCTAGAAACTGATTCATGCATCTTGGACCTCTCAGCTGACTGAAGAAAATAAAAAGAGGTCAGAATAGAAAAAAGCGGGGATGTTTGGGAGGAAGCCTGGTGGACTGACTTCTCTGGAGAGACCTTTTGTCAGGCTGGGGGGAGAGTTGAAGGTGCCATCCTCTAACCATAAGACTAGTTAGAGGATCTTCAAGGGTACCTTTCAGAGAGCTTGTCCTGCAGCTGGGCCAGTGGTTGCCTGGGATGAGAAGATAAGCTATTTTATTGGCAGAGCATTTTATTGGCAGACTACATTGTAGAACATACAGGGGATAAAGTTATGAAAATGTTTTAGTCATAATCAAACACCTTGAGGGAATTAGTACTGGGTATGGAGGCTTAGGACCATAGTCTCAGAGGACACTAAGGTCAACTGGCATAACATAGTCCACAAAGACAGTGTTCTATGTCCTACTTGGTGAATAGCAACAGGGATCTTAAAAGCTTGTGAGTGTCATCTAAGATGCAACTATTGGTCTCTCCCCTTCTGGAGCAAAGAAGAGTGAAGAAAATCAAAGATGCAAGGAAAGAATTAGTTTAAAAGACTAAAGGAGCACATGAATCCCAGCATCCATAACCCTGAGACCAGAAGAACTAGATGGTGCCCAGTTGCCATTGCTGACTGCTCTGAAAGGGATACAATAAAAAGGGTCCAGATAGAGTTGGGGGAAAAGTGGAACAAAACTCAAGATCATAAAAAAGACTAGGCTTACTGGTCTGATGAAGACTGGTGGAACACCTGAGACTATAGTATTTAGATACCCTTCAAGCTAGGACCTGAACTTAGCCCCTGTAACCCAGCTGTCAGCCAAATGATTGACAGGCCTATTAGGTGAACAGTAACATCAGGGAAGTATGTACTCATGACAACAATCAAGCATATGAGATCAAAAGGACAGCATTTGCCCAGGTATAGAGCTAGGAAGATGGGAGGGGATGAGAAGGAGGGACAAAGGGAAGGGTAAGTGCAGGAAGGAAGTAGAAAGAATGCTGTGTAGTGATTGCAATAAATTTCACAAAACAATGTGTATGGGTTGTTGAATGGAAAACCAATTTGCCCTGTAAACTTTCACCCAAATCACAATAAAAAAGAAAAAAAAGAATTTTGGAAAAGAAAAAAAGAAGAAGAAGAAATGGGTTGTTGTTGTTGTTATATGCCATCGAGTCGGCCCCGACTCATAGCGACCCCTCCTTGGGTTTCCGAGGCAGTATCACTACGGAAGTAGGATTGCCCAACCTTCCTTCCAAGGAGTGGCTGGTGGGTTTGAACCGCCAGCTTTCTGGTTAGCAGTCAAGTGCTTTAGCCACTATGCTACCAGAGCTCCCCAAAAGTACGGACGCTGTGAGCAGGATTCGAACCTGCGCGGGGAGACCCCATTGGATTTCGAGTCCAACGCCTTAACCACTCGGCCATCACAGCTGCGAAGAAATGGGTAATGGGTTACAATGGGCTCATCTGCATCCCACGGTTTGCCAGGACCAAGAATGGGGCCTATTTTCCACTGTCTGGATGTGAGCCATGCAGGAAGAAAGCTCCAGCCAGAGCTAGCTCTTACTCAACAGGCCATCTGCAGGGACAAGGAGACCTCAATGGAGAGATACTGGAGGTGGCCCACCAAATGCAAGGGACTCTCTGGAATAACAAGAGTTGCATGGCCTGATCAGGGGCACTTCAGGGGAGAAGTCTTCATTGTGAGTATCTCCAGAGAACTACAAAAGATCCACAGGAGAGTCAGCTCTAAGCATCCACCAGGCACAGACATCCTGAAACTGGCATCCTTGGCAGAATCAGCTCAAAGAGGAGCCATCTTATCCCCTTAGACCTCCTGCACTAGCATCCAAACCAGCAGCTCAGGAAGGAGGTATAGGGTAAAGAGCCCAACCTCACCCCCCTTTCCCAGGGCAGGCTTTCAGCTAAAGAGGCCCAAGCTGGGATGTGAGAATATTTGGATGCTGGCTAAACCAAGTTTGGTTTTTTGATGAACATATTGGACTGGACATTCAATTACTGAATGGAGATTATGACTTCAATGATTCTAGGACTGTGTGTTGCCTAGGAGATACCAGAAAATCTTAGGG